AATTGCACTTTAACCCTTGGGGTAAGTATGCAAATTTCTTATTTAATTATACAATTGCACTTTAATCCTTAGGTAAATATGAAATTACACATTTTTTAAATAAAATTGCACTTTCCATACACATAATACTATGTTACTTATAATTCCTATATAATTTATTATATCAATTCAATTAGGTCCCTAATTTTTTTTCCTTTCTAAAATATTAAAATTTTTGCTAGAAAATTCCGGGTTGTCACATTGAGAATATGAATGGAAACCCAAAAAATAATGAGAACAAATTAAAGAAAGACTGTTACGAGCTTTCTGAGGCCCCCTACCTTGACTATACACCTCATTCGAACTGATCTGGTGTTGCCACGTGGCAGATGAACTAGATCTACGTCGGACAAACTGATTCCATAACTTCGAGCTGAAATACTATCACCCCACCTCATAGAAGAACCGAACTCATTCGCCATTAACGACGGATGCCAAGGCCCGTACTCCGCACTCGTTATGTCTCGCAATCTTCCTTGCCACATCTGTACCATGATCTTTTAGTAGATCTCCCCAAAGTCAAGTCCCTGACTGATTGATAGGACGTGTAGCAGGCTACAAACGATCAACTTAGTTGCTATATCAGAAACCATTTAATGCCCGCCAACCTATGGATTGACAGATTGACGCCTATGAAAGGATGACTCATCCGGGATCTGAAGCCACGTGTCCCCCCCATCCAACGATTTTCATCTTCTCTTCTTTAGTATAAATACCCCCACACAATGGTAAGGTAGGGGTCCGAACTCTAATCCTTATATTCTAGTCTTAACTCAGAGCTTTTCGATATATTCACATTCTCAACCACGTCACGGTGACTACTTCATCGTCGGGCAACACCTCCCGATAAATTGAAATATTGACTTGACTGTCGAGTGATCACTCCTCTTCCACCTCAATCGAAAAAGGCCACGAGTGACTAACGGTGTGCCACCGTGTGCAAAGATGAGCTTACGTGGAGTGTCGTTCTGTTGGCCACATTTTTGAGGTCAACAGATTGGCACCGTATGTGGGAAAATCACTATAACCACGAGTATCCCCACGAAAGAAAAAGCTTATCGGAATATTTGGTTAATATTCTCCCTTGAAAAAGGGGATTTTTTTTTTGAAAAATAACAAGCTCTAAACTATCTTCACCGTTTGGGAGAACACTGGCAACTCCAAACCAATGAGTTCGAGCAATGAAGAAGTGAATCTGAGGAGAGTAAGAGAGATCTCTGAAGAAGAGATAATCCGGAATAATGTTACACACCAACGACCCCATCATCGATATCATAGGGGCGGGAGGACTGCTGCATGACTAACTGTCGAAGTGGCTCGCATGGCCACTAACATGAGGAACATCGCAGCCCAAAAAACAGCCATACGAACTCCTCATGCAAGTGCAAAATCAAGGCGGCTTCCAAGCTCCATCAAAATCCACTATAATCAGTTCGAAGAACTGAAGCAATCAAGCAGGAGAACTCATTCAGGTCTACAACGGAAAGTTCCAATTGAAAGGGAAGTGGGAGTAGACACCTCCTACACTGTCCCCCCAGCTGAAGATGACCAAGTTGGAGGAGATAACTTCTCCCCTAACTACGAAGAACGGCCTCGGAGGTCCGCCAGTGTGTTTGATCGGATCGGGCAAATGCCTAGAAATAGGGATCAATCCGCCCATCAAACAGCCCTCCTACAAGAGCGTGTACAAAGCTAGGAAGTTCAGGCCATCCGCCTAAGATAGGCGGGAGAGGCAAAATTTAATTGATTGGAGAATCGAGGCGAACCTTCCCTACAACCACCTTGCCCTTTACCAGATGGGAATGATTCTGACGAGCCGTGTCGATCCTACGAGCTCGACGATGATGATGACAACTTCCCTTTCTCTAGGGAGCTTCGTAGCTTTCCTGTGCCTCAACTTTTTTTCACCTAAAATTCCTAAGTACGAGGGGAAAGGTGACCCAGAGAAACACCTCAACAAGTACAAGACGCAAATGAGCCTTCGAGGGGCGTCGCCTGCTCTGAAATGTAGGGCCTTCCACTTGACACTTAGTGGCGCAATCGAAATGTGGTACAGTAGGTTAGCGCCTCTTAGCATTAGGAACTGGCCAGACCTCAAGAAGGCATTCTTGAACCAATACATGTTAAGAAAGGAATGAGAGACGTCGATCAGCACCTCTAGGACATAAGGCAAGCGGTAGGAGAGACCTTGAAAAGTTACCTCGCCCGTTTCACCAACAAAATAACCTATTGCAAGCAAGTCACGGACAAAGAAGCCCTCTCAGTTTTAAAAGGGGGACTGAATATGAATACTTTGTTTTGGAAAGATGTCCTGAGTAAAAACCCATCTACCTACGACGAACTGGTAGAAATGATGAAGATTGAGATTGTACGTCACGGTGACTACTTCATCGTCAGGCAACACCTCCCGATAAATCGAAATATTGACTTGATTGTCAGAGTGATCACTCCTCTTCCACCTCAATCGAAAAAGGCCACGAGTGACTAACGGTGTCCTACCGTGTGCAAAGAGGAGCTTACGTGGAGTTTCGTTCTGTTGGCCACATTTTCGAGGTCAACAGATTGGCACCGTATGTGGGAAAATCACTATAACCACGAGTATCCCCACGAAAGAAAAAGCTTATCAGAATATTTGGTTAATATTCTCCCTTGAAAAGGGGGATTTTTTTTTTTGAAAAATAACAAGCTCTAAACTATCTTCACCGTTTGGGAGAACACTGGCAACTTCAAACCAATGAGTTCGAGCAATGAAGAAGTGAATCCGAGGAGAGTAAGAGAGATCTCTGAAGAAGAGATCATCCGGAATAATGTTACACACAAACGACCCCATCATCGATATCATAGGGGCGGGAGGACTGCTGCACGACTAACTGTCGAAGTGGCTCGCATGGCCACTAACATGAGGAACATCGCAGCCCAAAAAAAGCCATACGAACTCCTCATGCAAGTACAAAATCAAGGCACCTTCCAAGCTCCATCAAAATCCACTATAACCAGTTCGAAAAACTGAAGCAATCAAGCAGGAGAACTCATTCAGGTCTACAACGAAAAGTTCCAATTGAAAGGGAAATGGGAGTAGACACCTCCTACACTGTCCCCCCAGCTGAAGATGACCAAGTTGGAGGATATAACTTCTCCCCTAACTACGAAGAACGGCCTCGGAGGTCCGCCAGTGTGTTTGATCGAATCGGGCAAATGCCTAGAAATAGGGATCAATCCGCCCATCAAACAGCCTTCCTACAAGAGCGTGTACAAAGCCAGGAAGTTCAGGCCCATCCGCCTAAGATAGGCGGGAGAGGCAAAATTTAATTGATTGGGGAATCGAGGTGAACCTTCCCTACAACCACCTTGCCCTTTACCAGATGGGAATGATTCTGACGAGCCGTGTCGATCCTACGAGCTTGACGATGATGATGACAACTTCCCTTTCTCTAGGGAACTTCGTAGCTTTCCTGTGCCTCAACTTTTTTTCACCTAAAATTCCTAAGTACGATGGGAAAGGTGACCCAGAGAAACACCTCAACAAGTACAAGACGCAAATGAGCCTTCGAGGGGCGTCGCCTGCTCTGAAATGTAGGGCCTTCCACTTAACACTTAGTGGCGCAGTCGAAATGTAGTACAGTAGGTTAGCGCCTCTTAGCATTAGGAACTGGCCAGACCTCAAGAAGGCATTCTTGAACCAATACATGTTAAGAAAGGAATGAGAGACGTCGATCAGCACCTCTAGGACATGAGGCAAGCGGTAGGAGAGACCTTGAAAAGTTACCTCGCCCATTTCACCGACAAAATAACCTATTGCGAGCAAGTCACGGACAAAGAAGCCCTCTCAGCTTTAAAAGGGGGACTGAATATGAATACTTTGTTTTGGAGAGATGTCCCGAGTAAAAACCTATATACCTACGACGAACTGGTAGAAATGATGATGATTGAGATTGTCAATGAAGATATGATTGATCATCGGAACAGGGCGGCACAAGGACTCCCTCCGCCCCAGCGACAGATCGATAGGGAGCCCACTTCACAGATCGTCAGCTAGTAGTGGACTCAAGCCAAACATGTGGTGGCTTCCACCTCTGGACAAGCATTGGCTACAGCCACCTTAAATGTAGTACCAACACTAGCTTATGAAAGCATTGGACCTGGTGGCAATGGTGCAGCCAGGAATCCTAGGAGACCTTCTACCTCTAGGAATAGAGGAAGAGGCGAATGGCCAAGAAATTGGCCTCAAGAGGAGTCACGACCCTATTGCACTTTACACCGCTTTTATGGCCATAATACAAATGAATGTCGGGAAGCTATTAGATCTGAGAGGAGCAACCCTCGCAACACTAGGGAGAACCGCCGCTAGGATGAAAATTCGAGGAAAAATGCACTAAGAAGGGGAGAAACGAAGCGGCACCCACCTCGATATGATAGGAACGATGGTAGAGAAAGGCCCAAACAGCGGCCTAGAAGAGACCTGGTTGCCGCGAACGAACACCAACCCATTCGAGAAATTGACACAATCATTGGGGGACCACACGTAGGAGGTGAGTCTAGGAACGCTCAGAGGAATTAAACTAGAGAGGCAAAGGATCCACCTATGGCCTGCTATATAGTCAGTCAGTCCCAGAAGATGAGGTCCGTAGAACCCATTACATTCACTCAAGAAGATGCAATGGACGTACACTATCCCCACTGCGATGCGTTAGTAGTAAGAGCTGTGGTAGCTCGAAATGGATTAAAACGCATGTTGGTGGATAACGGGATTTCGGTCAATATCTTGTTCGATTCCGCTTATGACAAGATGGCGGTAGACCATGAACTCACCCCTATGACATCCCCGTTATATGGGTTCACTAGAGATAGCATTATCCCAAGGGAAAAATCACCCTGGCTGTTGAAATGGGAACTACGCCTCTGGTAGCACACCACTTTAAATTCTCCACTGAACGAGGAATAACCACAATCCAGGTGATCGGATGGGCTTGAGGGAATGCTATCTCAATTCTTTGAGAAAGCCTGTGTCGAGGGTGAACATGGTTCTCCTTGATATTAAGATGTCTGAAGCCCCTGAAGAAGGGGAAGATGTCGAGATGGCGAAGCTTTTGTAAAGGACCGGCCTGAAAAGGCAGCCTTAGACGAACTAGATCTTTGCATTATCAAATCTGAATCACAAGCTGATCCAATGGAAAAACTGGAAAGCTTCTCAGTAGACTTCTAGGACGCTTCCAAAGTCCTACATGTGGGAAATAATTTGGAAGAAGGAAGGAAGAAAGAACTGAAGGACTTCCTCCGCAAGAACTCAGATGTCTTTGCTTGGAAATACGAGGACATGATTGGAATAGACCCAAATGTCAGTTGCCATCATTTACAGATCGACCCAAGCCATACTCCGCAGAGACAGAAGAAAAGAACCTTAAATGTGGAACGGTACGAGACCCTAAAGGAAGAAGTTGAGAAATTAATCGACAATGACTTCATTAGGGAGGCCACCCATCTGAAGAAAGTAGAGAGTGTGCATTGACTTCTCCAATCTCAACCAAGCTTGCCCGAAGGACAACTTCCCACTTTCTCGAATAGAATAACTGGTAGACTCAACAGCTAGACATGAGTTGTTAAGTTTCATGGATGCTTATTCGGGTTACAACCAAATCCTCACGAATCCAGGAGATGAGGACAATACTTCATTTATCACGAATAGAGGACTATATTGTTAGAAGGTGATGCCCTTTGGGTTGAAAAATGCTGGGGCCACCTATCAAAGGCAGGTAAACAAGATGTTCGCTGATCAACTAAGCAAAATGATAGAAGTTTATGTTGACGATATGCTTGTTAAGAGCCTCCGAGCTAAGGAGCATGTGAAACACCTGGGCGAGACCTTCTAGATTATGAGGAGATATCGAATGAGATTAATCCCCTCAAGTGTGCATTTAGCATAGCATCCAGTAAATTCCTAGGATACATTGTAAATCAAAGGGGGATTGAGGCGAGTCCGGAGAAGATCAAGGCTTTGATCGAAATGAGGTTGCCCTAGAAGCCGAAAGATGTGCAACGACTCACCGGCAGGGTTACCGCACTCACCGTTTCATATCCAAAGCCACTGAAAAGTATCTTTCCTTCTTTAAGATTCTCAAAGGGGGGAAGAGGTTCCATGGACGTAGGAGTGTGAAGAGGCGTTTCAGGCACTAAAAAGTTACCTCGGACGAGCTCCCTTCCTGTCCAAACCAAAGTTGGACGAGCCATTTCTGCTTTATTTAGCTGTGTCCTATGACGCCATCAGTTTGGTTCTCATAAGGGAAGAAGAAACACATCAATTGCCCATTTATTATATAAGTAAAGAGTTGTTACCAGCAGAAGTGTCCTACCCAGACATAAAGAAACTCGTTCTCTCATTAATCATCGCTTCTCGAAAATTGAGGACTTACTTTCAGGACCACATCATCTATTTGCTAACAAATTTCCCCCAAAAGTAAGTCCTTCAGAAGCCAGACACCTCAAGGAGGTTACTGAAGTGGGCCGTATAACTCAGTGAATTTGACATAGTGTATAAACCCAGGACTGCGGTTAAAGGACAGGCCCTAACTGACTTTATTGTCGAATTTACCAGGGCCCCTAAAATTGAGATGAGTATGGAATTAGTGGAGCCTCCCACATGGAACCTCTTCGTAGACGGATCGTCTGGAGAGGTTGGTTTGGGAGCGGGAATAATCTTGGAGAGTTCAGAGAGGCATAAGCTTAAATGTGCAGTAAGGCTCGAATTCAAAGCATCTAACAATGTAGCTGAGTATGAGGCACTCCTAGTTGGCCTTCGTCTAGCTAAAGAATTGCAAGTGAAGAGGTTAACGATCACAGGTGACTCACAGTTAGTGGTGAAGCAGGTCACGACAATTTTGTGGCTAGAGTCAAGCACATGGCAACCTACCTGAAACTAGTCATGGAATTCCTCCCCCACTTCGAAAGGTTTGAACTAATGCAAGTACCCCGCCTGGAGAACTCCCACGCTGATGCTTTGTCAAAGTTGGCAAGCAGTAGGGATTCCGAACTTCTTAAGGTGGTTCCCATAGAACACGTGGCTGAACCTTCCATCGCAAAGAAAGAATAAGTGATGTGAACAGAAGGCACCCCTCTGTGGATTCAGCAGATCATTGCTTTTCTTAAAGAACAAACTGTGCCAAACAATGAAGCCGAAGCTCGCCGACTCCGGAGAAGAGCTGTTCACTTTATCCTGCAGGGTGATGTGCTATACAAGCGGGACTTATCATCACCTCTCCTCAGGTGCACAGGAGGTGAGGAGGCGAATTATATTCTAAGAGAGATCCATGAGGGGGTTGTGGCAATCACTCCGGAGGGTCAGCACTGGCCCATAAGGGACTCGGGCGGGGATACTACTGGCCTACCCTGAAAAGGGACTCAATTCAGTTCGTGTTCAAGTGCGATAAATGCCAGCTCTTCTCCAATGTGCAAAGACAGCCCTCACAAGAGCTCACGGTCGTGTCAAGCCATTGGCCATTTGCCAAGTGAAGAGTTGATTTTATTAGTCCATTGCCAATGGGGAGAGAGAATGCCTACTTTGCCATTGTTGTGATCGATTACTTTACAAAATGGGTCGAAGCGAAGCCGTTGGCCAAGATCACCGAGGTAAACACTTCCAAATTTCTCTGGAAGAACATCATATGCAGATTCGGCATACCCTACTTCGTGGTTTCAGACAATGGTAAACAGTTTGATAACAAGAAAATCAGGGACCTATGCAATGAACTCGGAATCAAAAAGCATTTCTCGACACCTCACCACCCCCAAGCTAACGGCCAAGTCAAGGTAGTAAACAAAACCATCAAACTCGTCTTGTAAAGAAAGTTGGATGCTTCAAAAGGGGCATGGGTTGATGAACTCCCTCAAGTTTTCTGGGCCATACAAACCACCTACAGAACAGTAACTGGAGAGACCCCATTCTCCATGACGTACGGGGCCAAAGTCATGAGCCCAGCGGAAGTCGGAGTGCCCTCCCCTCGTCGCATCCACTTCTACGAAATAATAAACGATGAACTGAGAAAGTTTGAGCTTGAACTCCTCGAAGAAATTAGGGACGATTCTCAAATCAGATTTTCCTCCTACCAACGCAAAATGATGCGTTGCTACAATGCTAAGGTGAAGAAAAGGGCTTTTCGTATTGGCGACCTGGTACTCCGTAGAACATTCCCATCAACAAAAGAACTAGGAACCGGAACCTTGGTGCCGAATTGGGAAGGTCTCTGTCGTGTCACCGAAGAAGTACGACCTGGCATATACAAAATCGAAAATTTGGAAGGCAAGTTGATGCCTCACCCTTGGAACGTCGAACATTTGAGGAAGTATTACCAATAGGGAGATCGTAAGGACTTGCCATGTAAATGTTATTATTAATTAAATAAACTGATTGTCACTTCTGCACATGTTCTTGAAAAATAAACTCACAACTTCATTAGAAGAGGTACGGGTTCCACCTCTGACGAAGCGGACCAACAGTTCTCACATTCTTACTCCTTTGCCAAGGTGAACATGCCCACGAGGGGCCATCTCAACAAAGGATACCCACTTCATTAGGGGAGGTGCGGGTGCCACCTTCGACGAAACGGACCAATAGTTATCACATTCTTACTCCTTGCTTGGTTGAACACGCCCACGAGGGGCCACCTCAACAAAGGATACCCACTTTATTAGGGGAGGTGCGGGTGTCATCTCTAACGAAGCGGACCAGCAATGTTTTCACATTCTTACTCTTTGCCGAGGTAACAGACCTGCAAGGGATCACCTCACCCATGGTTATAATTGGATTCCATTTGGGTCATCCATTTGCTCAAGTGGTTATGCTTAAGCGAAGTGTTTATACTTGGACTCAATTTAGGTCATCCATTTGCTTAAGTGGTTATGCTTAGGCGAAGTGTTTATACTTGGATTCCATTTGGGCCATCCATTTACTTAAGTGGTTATGCTTAGGTGAAGTGTTTATACTTGGACTCCATTTGAGTCATCCATTTGCTTAAGTGGCTATGCTTAGGCGAAGTGTTTATACTTGGATCCCATTTGTACATTCCATTTGCTTAAGTGGTTATGCTTAGGCGAAGTGTTTACATTTGCTTTATCCATTTGATTAGCACATTTTCGGCGAAGCAACTACACTTGGAAACAATAATAGAAAGAATTTCATTGTATGGAACAAATCAAGGCCGAAGCCATTACAAAAGGGAAAGAGCTAATCTACATTTACAATAGCCCCCACTCCGACCTCCTCTTCCAGGGCTTCCTTTTCAGCCTCTAGGTCGGGCTGACTGCTGGTAGGACCACAGAACTCCTCTTCGAGAAACACGATGTCCAGCTTCGAATGCACCTCCATCAGATGAGACATCATCCGTTGGGCACTCCATGAAGCCCAGTAGTTGGTGAAGTTGTCGTACTCTTTTGTTTGGTCGAAGTTATCAATGTAGTTTTGCATAGACGTTTCACCTACTGTCTTCACTTCTACCTTTAGGGACTCGATCTCTTCCTTCTGGGCTTCAGTCAACATCCTCAGATCGACCCTTTCCTTGTTGCCCCCTCAAGGCCTTAGAGAAAATCATTTGGTGTTCATTGGACTGGTCTATTCGCTTGATGAGCACAGCCACTTGGGATAGTGACTTATGGAGTTCATTCTTCAGCTAATTTACTTATATCTCAGCAGAGTCTAGTTTCACATCCGCCTCAGCCCTCTTCACCTCAGCCCGTTCTGCCTCTTCCTTGGCCTTTTTTACCTTTTCATCCCACTTCTCCAAAGCCTTCACCCTTTGTTCCAATTCTTCATTTCTCTTACGAAGGCCCCGGACTAAGTACGCCAATACTTAGAGCCCTCGCCACACAAGCATTATTGGCGGCAAGAAGATCCTTCGCCTCCCCGGTCCAGTACTTATTATGGACGCGGGTGGCAGAGGCGGTTTCAGGAGGCAACATTTCCAAAACTGTCTCAGAGAGCTCATCCTTCTTGCTCCCCAGAAATAAGTCCCTTTGCCACGGGAGAGAGGGTTGGCAGGCTTCTTCAATCTCTTTCGAGCCGGCTCTCCAGCCAAGATGGCAGTAATGGGCACAACAACCTTTGGAGACCATGTTGGGCCAGCAATGGTCACCCCGGAAGGAATAGAGGGAGGAGGCCTGGCCATTGTGGCCGACGAAGAGGATGCCCCTGCTAGGCCAGATCTTTTCCTATTGACGAGGGAGGCTCCTTCCTCAATCTCGTCTTCCTCAGGAAGCTGCTGAGTCTTACTCAGCTGATTTAATCTCTCAGCCTGTTTTTTGTAGAATGGCGATTTGGTCTTGAGGGCACTCACCTCGGCCACACTACGACGGATCATAGCAAAATCTGGCCTATCTGCCTTTTTCTTCAAATAATCATTTGCGCGAAGAGAAAAATGTTAGCAGCCAAATCGAAAACATTAAATGTAACCCGTGAAAAACAGCTCACCTTGGATCGCCATCAGTCCGTTTAGGGTGAAGCAGGCGTTCTTGTCAATCAGCTCGCAGTAGCTCTGGTCCTTGAAAGGCTACTGGTAGATGTGACTAATAATGTCCTAGTCTCCTTAAAAATTTCACACCTCGAAAGGGAGCCTACAAAAAATAAAAATATTAAGCCATAAGAAATCGCTCAAGTTAAATCAGCTGAGTAAGATAACTTACTGGCCGTGGAGTAAGACGCGGGGACAGTGATGGGAGCCATGGGGTCATTCTCCATGGTATCCCACCTCCCAGCTGCCTAGAACCAGGACTTTCGCCACTCCTTTACTAAAGAGGACAAATCTACCACGAATGGGGAATGGGACCCCCAAGGGGACAAGTAGTCCCACCCCTTGCTTTTCTCACCCCGACCACACTCTTAGGGAAGAAGATGAAGTGGAACACACTGAATGGCATATCTATACCTAAGCTAGCCCGTCGCCGGAGCATCCACGACCCAACCATCTGGGACCAAGAGTTTGGATGGAGTTGGGTCGGAGTCAATCTGCAGGAAAGGAGAACTAACCTAAAGAATGGGTGAATGGGAAGTCTGAAGCCTGCCCTAACAAGTTTTCACTCAAGGCCACGCAACCTGGTCTCGGATAGCAGGCCCTAGCTTTATGTTGTCTAGTATCCTAAAGACCCATCTGCATTTCTCTAAGGTTTTTGAGGTAGCTTTAGATGGACAGCTAGAAGTCCCCCGCTGAATAGATGTATCTACGGGCGGGGCGGGTAACCTCCAGATATTCTCTCCTGATCTAATCGGCTTTCCTATTTCGTCCAAAAAGAGATGACTATGGGATCTTCAACAGCTCGCCTCTCCCCACTCGTAGAAGTGCTTCCAGACCTCGCAGAAGCCATTTACTCAGTTTTGGATCAAAATGAAGCAAGAGAAAGAGAGAGAAGTTTACCTAGAGTTTATAGTTCGAAAGCAAGAAGTTGTCGGAACTCTCAAATGGATCGTTGGAATCTCACAACCTTGCTGGTCGGAAAAATGAAACGAAACGGAGGAATGCAAGAGTTTTAGAGATTTTCGTAAATGTAAAGGAACAAAATGAGAGATTATGGCCTTATATAGGTGTTTCCAAATTCATCCCAGCCGTTAGATCATCTCAAGTCACATATGAGCCATCTGAATCTATGGTTCATCATCACCGTTGAAACCAAGAGTCACGTAAGCTAACGGCCCTAATGGAGCAATGTACCTCACGCATTAACCCAAACGCGTCATCTTGAACCCATGTAGCCGTCGCCGTGATTACCATTTATAGTTATGGAGGCGTACCTTAGAACCAAGAAACACCCCCCACCATTACCTGGGAAGACGCAAAAGCTTTTAAATCATTAGCATGCAGCCCAGGCTGTCCCCTCAGCAAACACCTCGTCCGTCAGCCAGCATTACGCTTTGCAACAACTTTCCCCAAAGTTGCCAACACTTATCACTTCGTCCTTCAGTCAGGACTACGCTTTGCAACAACTTTTCCCAAAGTTGCCAACTCTCATCACTTCGTCCTTCAATCAGGACTACGCTTTGTAACAACTTTCCCCAAAGTTGCCAACACTCATCACTTCGTCCTTCGGCTAGGACTACGCTTTGCAACAACATTCCCCAAAGTTGCCAACTCTCATCACTCTGTCCTTCAGCTAGGACTACGCTTTGCAACAACTTTCCCCAAAGTTAACAATGCTCATCACTTAGTCCTTCAGCCTGACTACGCTTTGCAACAACTTTCCCCAAAGTTGTCAACACTCATCGCTTCGTCCTTCAGGTAGAACTGCTTTGCAAACAACTTTTCCTAGTCACTCAACATTTCGCCCTTCCATCAGAACTTCGCTCCTGCATACCTCTTCGCCTCGTCTACAACTAACGCATACACTGTAGGATGACATGATATAATCGCCTCTACAAAGTCCATGCATTATATAAATATCCATACACGGACTTGATGGACTGTTGTTACGGACCTTCTGAAGGCCCTCCACCTCGACCATGCACCTCATCCGAACTGATCAGATGCAAAGGCCCGTATTACGCACTCGTTACTTCTCGCACTCCGCCTCGCCAAAGTCAAGTCCCTGACTGATTGATGAGACGTGTGGTAGGCTACAAACGGTCAACTCAGTTGCTATGTCAGAAACTATTTAATACCCGCCAACCTATGGATTGACAGATTGACGCCTATGAAATGATGAATCATCCGGGATTTGAAGCCACGTGTCTCCTCATCCAACGATTTTCCTCTTCCCTTCTTTAGTATAAATACCCCCACACAATGGTAAGGTGGGGGTCCGAACTCTAATCCTTATATCCTAGTCTTAACTCAGAGCTTTTCGATATATTCACACATTCTCAACCACGTCCTGGTGACTACTTCATCGCCGGGCACCACCTCCCGGTAAATTGAAATACTGACTTGACCGTCGGAGTGCTCATGGCCGCTTCCACTCCCATCGGAAAAGGCCACGAGTGACTAACGGTGTGCCACCGTGTGCAGGGAAGAGCTAACGTGTAGTTTCGTTCTGTTGACCACTTGTCGAAATCATTTTTCGAGGTCAACAAAGACTGTGATTCTACGGATGTTGATCTTAAGATGTGGGAGAGCTGCAAAATTGAGGGAGAGCCATAACACGAATTTTTTGAGGAGGAAGTGAACTCAAAAACCAAGGGTAGTGCAAGCTACGATCAGGTCAATAGGCTACCCTCAATAGAAAATCTCAATAATGCTGGAAACTCTCTATCAAAACTTCAGAGTTAGAAAAAGAAAAACCCTTGCTGCACAAATTTGAAAACCTATTGAAGAAGAAGGGCACTACCAACCAGAAATAATATGTCAACTATCTATTACATGTTTTGTCATTAAGCTATAGAAGATGTTGTGTTCTTTATCACACTTGAATGCGTTTTCTCATTGCTTTCCTTCATTTATTCGTCTTATTTTTGCTCCTTGATAGGGGTTCTAAATTTGAAAAGGTTTGTATCATCTTTGGATTTTCTCTTTGTTTCTATCTCTCTACGTGCCCCATTTGGGTAATCTCTACATGTTAATTTATTTTGTCAACTTGTCTTTTCATTTTTTCTTTTTCAGCTAAATCTCGTTGAACATGAGAAATCATTTTTTTACAATTGTAATTTGGTATATGCTTTCATCTATGAGATGGAGATTGGCCATTGACTATTTTTATGATTGTCTTTTTTTTTTCACGAATTCCATGGGCACTTATATCGAATTATGCAACTATTACGTCAAACAATTCATTTGTTGCATGAATTTTATATGATTCTTAGTCCACATGTTAAAGGATTTCTTTTATTCTAGAACCATATAACTTAATAAATCTCTACATGCTCAATAAGGAAAAGTTCATCCCAATATAGTCATAGCAAAACTTGAGTTGAAAATGTAATTCATGCAAATTCAATATATAGCACGCTAACATTGCCTTCAAAGTAAATACACGGACAAAGACTAATATCTTCATAAAATATCATTTTTGTTCATAAAACAAACCATTGCATGTTAAGCCCCTGTTTGATAAAATTTAATTTTTATTTTTAATCTAAGTCAAAGTCAATAATTAATTTTAACCACATCTTTTGAGGGACCCACAACTTTCTACCTCACATTTTATCAACTTTTATCAGAATCTGCTAAAAATCTAAATTTAGTGTCCACCAAAAAGGGCTAAATCTCCTCCTCTCTGCAAAGCTCAAGATGGGTGAGTTTAGGCTCGGCTTCAGTGGGAAAACAGACAATATTTCCTAACAACACGATCTTCGCTTAAGTGTGTAAGCCGAAACGTCATGGTTTGGTCTGGATAATTCGGTTTGAAAATATGTTAAAAACTATCCAAACTGAAGCGTTTACACCCCTATTCTTCACAAACCCGACACAGGTTGCGCTGGTCATTAGAAATCACACAATCTTTATCAAAATGGCCTAACAAAGGAGAAGAATCCTTAGGGAGATGAGATATAACAACACTAAATATTATTTCTGAACAACACTACATGTTGTTTCTGTCTACGGATACTCAAATTCTTAAAAGCTCAGGCAGCATACTTTATTGGACTCTCATAATATTAATAACTTGACAAGACTTGAACTCCACACACAGCAAAAGCTCACAATAAATACAAGAGACACACTTATAAATATAGAAACCAGCCAAGCAGGGTACGGAATGATCAGCCAGAATTGACCAACAAGATTCACCGGTAGGTTCTGTAATTTGGAGTGTACATGCAGCTTTCAGCATGCTTGACCAGATCTGCAGGCTGAGGAAGTCTTGTTGCCAAACCTAAATGACATGCAAATTTTCGTGAAGTTCACATCTTAGAGTAAGGAAAACCGAAATAAAAGCGAAAAGGAAGGGCATTTACCGAGTTCATATGCTTTAGCAGCTACCTTTGCAGCAATATGAGCTGAGATCTTTCTTATGTTAGAAAGTGGTGGGTAAATCATTCCCTTGTCATAATGTTCTTGTGTTACTTGACCAGCCAAAGCTTCAGCTGTGATGACAAGATTCAGGCGACAATAAAAGGATAAGATAATTCATGACAAGAAGACAATGAAATTAATTCAAATCAACTATGTACTTACATGCTGCCAACAGCATATCATCATGCACGCGGATAGCACCAGACACGACCAAACCAAAGCCAAGCCCCGGAAAGATATAAGCATTGTTTGACTGAAGTTACACCAGAGAATGGATCTTAATCTATAATCCTCCACAATTCAAAAAAGTTGAATGGCACTAATAGAAGTCGAACATGTTCGTTACCTGGCCAGGAACATAAGTTTTGCCATTGTATTCTACCGGGTCGAATGGACTTCCACTAGCGAAAATTGCACGACCCTTTATTGAAGCAAGATGGAAAATACAAGGTGAAGTTAATTTTACTAGAAAGAGTAAAACTATGATGATTTATCAGCATTATAGCACTCTGAAGAACATCTTAGTACTCATCCGACCTCGGTCCACGCATACGCTTCTTCAGCAGTGCACTCAGATTGAGAGGTTGGATTTGAAAGAGCCATGATAAGAGGTTTCTGTGTATCATTCAAAATGTGATTAGATTAACGTGTAAAACATCATTGGGGGGAGAGAGAGAGAGAACCTTGTTGAAAGAAGCCATAGCCTCAACCACCTCCTTTGTAAATTGTTTTCCAACACCAGATGTTCCAATTAAAGCTGTTGGCTTGATAGCCTAATGAAGTTTGAAAATAAAGCAAAAGTAAGTATACCAAAGAGTACTAGTGTCTGTTGAAAATAGAGATATACAGAGTTCATCCAACCTTGACAGCGTCTAAGAGAGTGTTGCAAGGTTCATGTTCATGAGTCCATGGCTTCTTAAAATGTTGAAGAGATTCCTTGCGGGATTTAACTATTAAACCCTGTAAATTGTACACAAACATCACTGATCAAAAAATTACCTTAATGACTCCTAATTGTTGGGAATCAACATATATACTTATAAAAGGAGGCAATTGATCTACAGAAATATATTTGATCAGAAGTTACCTTTGAGTCTACCAGCCAAATCCTTTTACGGGCTTCTTCCAGAGGAGCTTTAGTCTATAGGTCAAAAAAGTCACCAAGCGCTCAAAATCATATTGAAAGTACCTCAAATTATACATAAAACATTCGGAATAATTCATACCTGCTTCGACATTTCAAGGGCTATAAGCTCTGCTATACCAGTACCAGCCTGCAATTACAAGAGAAAGCATGAGCCAACCATGCAAAAATATCAACTGGAAAGCCGAAACTAACAATAATCGAGGGAATACAAAAAGGGAAAATTATGAATGTAGTGTATTTCAATTTCCACTTTCCACACCCACTGTTTAATATAAAGAGTATCTGTCCTTGTTGTATCTTCTTGTTTTTCTTGCCATTCTTAAAAATCAAATATCTAGAGGCTCACTAAAAATAAAGCAAGGTAAGAACTTTACTTCTCCAGCACCAAGAAACAAAAATGTGTGATCAGCCAAGGTACCCCCGAGTAGCTTAAGTGATGCAACTAGCCCGGCAAGCACCACAGATGCCGTCCCCTGCAGTAGAAGGATCAAGAATTATAATATAGACACGAATATTACAACAATTTCAACCAACAAGTCACATTATACCTGTATATCATCATTGAACACCAAGTGAGTAGTGCCGTATTTGGCCAACAGCTCAAAAGCATTGTGATTGGCGAAATCTTCAAACTGCAATTTCATTTAGAATTGAACTAAGTTAAAAACGACGGCCTCTGAAATGGGAATATTCTTGCAGGTAATTGGGGATTACCGACCTGTACAAGAACTTTTTCACCATAGTTTTGCTTCACGGCAGTCATTAATTCATGTAAGAAGTCGTAATATTCCTGGAAAGAAAAGGTCATATCAGCATGTAGCTTAGCTAAGATATAGAATCCCCACAAGTTAGAAAACTATGATTGGAGTAATTTAGCAGGGTTTGAACATGTAACCTTCCCAGTCGCCCGCTTTTGTCTGAGCCCAATGTAAAACTCATCTTTAAGTAGCTGCTCATTATTTGTCCCCACGTCAATGGTAATCGGTAAACACTATAAAGCGAAGTCAAAACTTATAATTAGAACTATAAGTACATATTTTGTATGCAGTATTAGAACGTATTAGATAATATAATAAACAATAATTGACAATAGCCTTATGTGAATGCTTACTGCAGAAGGTCTAACACCTCCTAGTGCGGTATATAACGCCAATTTTCCAACTGGTATTCCCATCCCCTGCAAAATAGTCAAAAATATCATCATCAATCTAATTTGCAGTGTGTATGAAGTAAAAGCGAAGGAAAAATCTGTGTCCAGAAGAATCACCTGGCAGCCAAGATCACCAAGCCCCAAAATTCGTTCACCATCAGTCACAACAATAACTTGAATTGTCCTCTCAGGCCAATTTTTCAATACCTCAAGAATCTTTCCCCTACACATACCAGGAACTTCCAGTGTCAGTTGAAATTACATTCCACATTGGCTTAAATAACATAGTTAAAAAATAAAATCATACTTCTCTTTCAAACTTATATATAAACCCTGAGGCCGCCTAAAGATGCTTCCGTATTTTTGGCAAGCCTCGCCAACCGTTGGAGTGTAGACAATTGGGAGAAGCTCCTCCACATTATCAATGAGAAGCTTGTAGAACAACCTTTCGTTTCTCTCCTATAAACCCAAATGATAAGATTTCAAATACGGAAAAGTCGAGCATATTTGGCTAAGCTTAAATGTACCTCGAGTTCCATCAAAGCCATATATTTGTGCAGGGGAACGTCATACTGGCGGAGACTATGCATTAATTTTTTCTCCTAATACACCAAATCAAGAAAGTAAGCTAAATAACATAAGAGAAAAAACTAGCTGATTTGACAAAATTTATTTATTTACCTGAAGATCTTGTGGTATAATAGCTGGAGGCAAAAGACCGCGCAAGTAATGAGCATCTCTCTCGTTCTCTGTAAATGCAAGCCCCTTGTTGTGATGTGGATCTCTCAGCAAATTATACCCACTGTTGTACAAGATTGAACAAAATATAACTATCAACTTTCGATAATGTCGATAATGTAGATACACGCTAATGTGTATCGATAATTAAGCACGAAACACTTGATCATGATAAAAATGGATCATAAATGAGGAAGAAATTAAAATAACACAAAGCTTGAACCTTGGACTAGAACAAAATTGAAAAGGCAAAATATAATTTCCTCAAACTGAGACCCATAAAGATCAGGTCACATAAGAAGAACCATTCCAGTTAAAAATATAACATGATTGTCAAAATCTAAGCTAGACAGAACTAAAAAAGTTAAAATCTTGTTCAATGAGCCAAACCCAGTTCTTCGTACTAAACATGTCCAGAATTATCATGAATTATCAAGAAAATTAGCACAAACTCTACTGAACTAACTAGCCACAGGAAGTGCTAAAACTTCATGCCTTTCTACAGAAAAAACATACCCTGAAAATTAAAAGGAAATTCAAGAAATAATCTGTACCTAGCAACGGAAATAGTCCAGGGAGTAACGAGCTGATCCTCAGTGGCACGATCCTCACCGTAGACATCCTCCACTCCTCCTCCGACCGTCGATCTTGGGCTCAGGTCCAGCACCAACTCCCCACCTCTCTGTTCCTTCAATGTACTCTCCATATCTCTCTCTCTCTCTCACTCGCTCACAAACAGACTTTCTGCATGTTCTTCTGAAGCCTAAATGTTCATATATAAAATAGGGAAAATTGCAACAGCAGTTCCTAACCTTTCTATTTTTTATAGACTTTACCATAATCTTCATTTATGCCAACGAAGGTCCATAACCTTTCAAAAATATACAACTGTTGTCCAAATGGATGGAAACTCGTCTATTTGACCGTTAGTTAACCGAAAATAATAGAATTTAATCAAATTAACAAAGGTAAAATTTTGACCAACCGGATTTCTTCACAAATCTGCCACTCACGTCCAATTTGTAGGACGAGCAGAAACTTCTGATCAAGACAATGGCAATGCAAACAAAATAGAATCGTTTTTGACACGATCTTCATCATCTGCAAACCTCGGAAGTTTTCACCAAAGTGATAGCATGTTCGAAGTGGATATGCTTATTGTCGAATGAGAAGGCGCGATAAAGAAAAAGAGGAGACCAGGAAGAGGGGATGATTTTACATTTGCTGTTATCCCTCTCAAACTTTTTCAATTTTGTAGTGGTAGCGGTGATGGTGTATGTGCGAAGCAGTATTTTGATTTTGGTATAGGGGGTAGGGTTTGGATGGAGATAGGTTTAATCAATTTTGGTTTTACTTTGTGTTGGCGGTGGTGGCGGTGGCGGGGAGGCTGTGGTGGAGGTGGTATCGATCGGTAGGTGGGTGGCTATGCTGACAGTTTTTTTTCGTTCTCTTTTTCTTTTTTAGTTTATTTTGTTTTATTCTGGTTTTTAAATTATTTTATGTATAAATAATAAAATTATCATTTTACCCATTTCAATTTGGTCAAAATTAGTCAAATTCTATTATTGTTGGTCAACTAAAGATCAAATGGATTGGTCCATCCATTTGGACCACAGCTACATATTTTTAATGGGTTAGAAACCTTCGTTGACACAAATTGAAGGTTAAGATAAGTTTACAAAAATTGAAAAGATTAGGAACCGCTGTTACAATTTTCCCTATAAAATATCTGGGACTGTATATTCGAGTGTTGAAGTTGGTATATTGTATATGAATTATGATTATTATCCTTATAAGCTTGACAGATGTCACACAGGACTGGCTTCAGTGCTTACATATGTGCAAAGAAACATATGTGTAGGCCCAGGCAATGTTTATCCATGGATTATTATGCAGTGCAATAATTCATTTTCCTTTACGTCAATATCAACTTTGTTAGTGTTCAAATAAGATATCATCTAAATGGACCAAAGTCCTAATATTTCATTGTCAGCCCCTGTTTGGACTCTAAGAAAATGAGATTTTGAGATAAAATTTATTTAGAAATAGTAATTTTTCGAAGAATATATGGTTAAAAATAAATCATATTTTTTTAATTTACGTGTAATATTATTTAATGAGAGAATATGTGGTTAAAAATGAATTCTGAAAAAATATATTTTTGAAAAAATGAGCCAAGGAGGGCATATTGAAGTTTCAAATTTTACTATTTTTGTCACAATTTGTTATCTATGGTCTCCAAATGATAAAATTGTTTAGTTGGCAATCATATTAATTGACATTCAAGATAATAGTTGGTCGGCACTCTAGAATCGAAAATAGTAAGACGGAAGTTATGAGTTGTGATAATTTCTTAAATTAAAATGTTGAAAGACAATTTTTTTTTTAAAACATTTTTACGTGTAGTGAGAAATTGGAATGACATGCTAACCATTATGTTAAAGATTCATTGCGACTTTCACGCAAAGAAAAAAAGCTAAATGCAAGAATAATATCACATTTTCACAATATTCATTGATTCAATATTAAGGGCTTGTCTGGTTCGACTACCAAGCAAATTTTGACAGTTAGTGGGTCCCACACTGCCACTCATGTGTGAAGAAAGTCAACCAATGTGGCCCACTAACGGTTGACTTCTTGATTAAAATTGGCACCAGACAAGCTCTAAATATCGATAATTGGATCAATTCAAAGAAAATTCTCATAATGTATTAATTTCATTTAAAAAACACGCTTTTATATTCTTCAAAAAGGATGACGTCATTCCTTACCATCAGCCACTAAATATAAGTTAAATTGCATAATTAAAAAATGGAAAAATTAATTAAAGGAAAGGAATAGTAAAGGAAAAATGCTCAGCGTGATTATAACACAATTAGGGAATATAGTCAGCAAAATATTGTTATCATTGTACTGCACAGACTGCACCAGGAGCTTGTTTGTGAGGGATTAAAATCAGATTAAAATTGAAAATATAGCCGTTATTGTTAACTTTTATTAGACGGGTGTGACTCAATAACGGCCATATTTTCAATTTTAATTGGATTTTAAGCCCTCCCGAACGGGGCCCAGGTATGACTGGGACTTAATCAGTTTGGTACACGTGTCATAGAGTGGTGAAATTTGAAATTAAATTAAGTTTATTGACTCAATCAAGATAAATTAAAATTTAGTGGTCCAATTGAGAGTTTGTGGAAAGTTCAATGACCGCAGATGAAATTCATTCATGTTAATTATCATCCACACATATTAATTTAGAAATAAATTTAACCCAAATAAGACTTAAATGATTATATAAAATCCTAAGATATTTTTTGACGTCTAGATGAGATGACTAATATATTAAATATTAACTTTTCTACTTTTCAAAAATAATGATGGTTAACGATATAGATTTATTTTTTTATTCTCGTATATGTTTTTCTTTTTACGGCTATTTGTAACCTTATGGAAAAAGTTATACAATTTTATTATATCATTTCGTATTTTTTATTAAATGACATTCGGATCATATAATTTTATTATAAAAATAAGAGGAAAAAGTTCACCTTTTGCATCTTTCCAGTTGAAAAACAAGAAAGACATATTCTTTAACTATGATTATTTTACTATGAAGAACAATATTCAAAGACCTAAATTAGTCATTAATCAGTCTACCCATATATATTACATACACAACATTGAATGCATATGTCTGCACATTGCAACCCGTGATTTAATTTTGTGATTCTTCTGAACTTTTGTGGCAATTCAAAATAAAGAAATGTATTTTTTGAGATTAATGTCCACAGGTCATGCGTCCAAGAGAACTAGTCACATGTCATTGGATTAATATAACATATAACAGTTTACAAGTCACATATCATAATGCATAGGTCACAGGTCACGGACCATTTGATCAATATCACAAATAACAATTTACATGTCACGGTTCACATATCATATCATAGTGCATAAGTCACAGATCCATAAAAAAAATCACATATCACAGAGAATTGGTCACATGCCATTGATTTAATATCACAGGTAGTAATTGATCTTTTCAGTTTCCGTCACAGCAACTCATAATTTACAGGACATTGGATCTTTTCAATATCACACGATTTACAGGCCAATGGAGTTTTACAATTTCCATCACGGTAACTTACGATTGAAGCTTCAACAAGGTTTTGTAAATTTAAAATTGGAAGATCCAGCAACAATACAATGTTATCAGTAGCCAACCATGACTTCGAAACCCTTTAAATCTATTTCGGGATGATCACAAATTTCAATTTACAACTCCTATTATATCATTTGTTTGTGATTATTGCCTTCGAAAATTCTGGTACACAGTACCGACAACTTTCAATTTGTGACCTCAATCGTCTGATGGGTTTCAATCAACTAGATTCCGACGGTGAAAATCGAAGTTACATCGCTATATATGTATATACTTTGAACGTTTAAACCTTATTTCTTAAAAATGACATTGAACGTAGTAAACACCTTACATGTATTATTCCCAAATTTATTTATTTATTTTTTACAATAAAAAAATTATGAATTTTTTTCTATGTATCAGCCCAATAGAATTTCTTTTTCGTCCCCTTAGCTCTGCCCTTGATTATCACTGATTTGGAAGCTATACGATTCAAAAAAAATTCAACAGTAAACTGGCTAGAGAAGCATTTCAGAGCCTTTTGACAAATTCCGTCACGTGGCTCCATCCCATCGGATCCAACCTTGGATAGCAATACATTTGTCATCAAATGAAAGGAAAATTGTTGCTATTGAATTGATGTTGTTGTCCCCTCTATTCAATGTTCAATGCATTAAAATGTATTAAAACTTCTTGTTTGAGATCCATTTTTTAAGAAGAATTTGATTTAGAATAGTGATTGATGAAAGAATGTTTGGTTAAAAAGTAAGGAGAATTTTTAGATTTATGTATAATATTATTTTATTAATAAAATGTGTGGTTGAAATGAAGAAAGAAAAAAATGGATGTCAAACTTATGACAATGGATTTTGTTAACCTCGAAAAATGGCTCGGACACGTGGCCAACAGGATATGTCTTTAAGTTAAATCCTCCTGCACACGTAGCACGCCGTCAGTCACTCGTGGCCTCTCCCTGAGAGGGTGGGAGCGGCCGCAAGCACTCCGACGGTCAAGTCAGTTTA